TGAGGAGTGTTTATTGAAAAGTACATTTACTTGAAAAGTCGTGTCGGCCATCTTGGACTTAGAAATAAATGCTATGTTCATAATGAGCACCCCCAAATACCTCAAAAACGATACCCAATTTGCCATTATTTGAAAAGTGCGGGCACGACTTTTCATCCTGGATTTAGAAAGAAGTGCCATATTCGTTACGAGAGCACCCTAAGTACTATATTGCCCACGCTATATTCGACCACAGAGGCACTCACTCACTCACCGTTATTTGAAATTTTTTTTTCGCTCTTGTTCCATTAATTCTTGTCTTAGAAAAGCAGTGATAATCAAAACACCCTCGCGCGCTGCACTCGTGGTAGAAACGGCTGGCACAGAAACTCGAAATACGATTTTTGCTTTCGAGTTCTGTTTACACGGAGACGTTATATTGAAAGGCGAGGAGATTATCGCTCACGTGGACGGTCGATAATCGCAAATGTTTAGACGAGGAAAGTTTTTTTATATTCTTTCGATAATCGTATCTTCGAGACGAGAAACTCTCTCCATCTAAATGGGCCTTAACAGTGGTCAACTGCTTGTGTAAAAAAATTCAAGATGCAGAATCCAAAATGGCGGCCGAAGAAAAACTTGCTTCGATGCGGCTGAAAATTGGCATTGCATCATAATTTGGGGTCAAAAGTTTTTTTCGCCATTTTTTAATATGGCTGCCATATAAGCGTTTTTTTCGTTAAAAATAGCCGCCGAATGAGACTCGCTCTGTTTGAGTTGAAAATTGGCATGTGTGCACGTGGCTTCTAGAAGTGCCAAATAATAATTTGTGCTCAAAATTGGTTTTTCGCCATTTTCAAATATGGTCCCATACAAGCGTTTGTTGGTAGGCGAAAAAAAATTGTTCTGATGCCTTCCAAAATTGTCATGTGGGAGTCTCTAGGAGTGCGTGATAATAATTTGTGATCAGCATTAGTTTATCGCCATTTTTCAATATGGCTGCCATAGATGTATTTTCTGGCGGTAGATGAAAATTTGCTCTAAATCACTTGAAAATCGCCATGAGGGGTTATCTATGGGTGTTTAATAATAACTTGGAGTCAAAATTTACTTTTTGCCTTTTTGCTTTTTGGAGCTTAATCTGCTGGCCAGGGAAGATACTAGATTTCACAATTGTTCCAAATGTAAGGCATACTTCCCCATATAGTGGAAATAATATCTTATTTACTTATACAACTTATAGCGTTGTTGTATCTCGACTGGCTCTCTATTAGACTCTTTTTTATTGGAAGCTATGCCAAAAAGAGAAGTAGGCATTTAGGGAAAAAAATGCCAGACAATCACTTCAAATTTTTGGTCTCAAACTAGGGAATTTCCTGTACCATGAGTACCAGAGTAACGATAATTCTGAAGGCAATACCCAGAATACCCTGACCAGGACCAACTTAAAAATGTTTTTACATAAATTGGCTCAAAAAAGGGATTGAATCTGGAACCTCCTCATCAAGCGCCCATAGTATACTAATCACTGTGCCACCGACGAGCATAATGCACACCCCGTAATCTGAAAGCGACCACGCGCCGCAGGCCGAGTCCGACCACTACCACACTAAAATTGACATCCATTCATCCATCCATCCATACAATAAATCTTTCCTTCCTATGAAAAATCAATAAAACTATATCATGGTTTTAATTATGTAGAGGAGACGGATATGCATTCACACAATTTTGGGCATAAATCATTGACAGTCAATGGCATAAATATAAAAAGATCAAAGTGGTGGGAATTAATAACTCATTTATACATATTGTGTCAAACCTGTGTCAAACCATCACTGAAAATTTTGCTGATTTTGGCAATTTAAGGGCAGAGTTATAAAAGATTTACTAAAATTGAGTTTATGTAACAACTTATACTTAACATCTGATGTTTGAAGTGCAATTGATTTTTTTTATATGGGTCGTTATGATTATTATGCATGTGTAAAGTTTGTTAAACTCAACATTTTTAGATTTCTCTATTCGTGTATACCACACGATGTTGATTTTTTGGTATACAAGTAACTACTTTGAACTCTTTTTAACCGACTTTAAAAAAAGGAGGAGGAACTCCGGTATTTGTGAACTGATTTTGATGTTTCTTTTTTTATTGGAAAGAGGGTACCTCCATAGTGGTCTCATTTAATTTTGAAGAAAATCATCCATCTCTAAGGGTGGCTGTCCACGCATGAAGATTTTTATATATCTAAGCACCTAAATTACATTATAAGGAGCAATTATTTTAATGGTTGATTTTGCTATTCTCCAATTCAAGGCGTTTTTCTCTTGCAATATACTTTTGAGTAGTGGGAACCGGCAAACTAGGGGATGAAACCGGGTTTGCGCACTTTCTGGTAACCGAATTCAATAAAACTTGGCAAATAGATGGGAGGTCCACGTACTTTTGAGGTCGGTTTTTTTAGTAATCTGTACTGAGATTATCAATGTAACAATATGTTCCATCAAATATTTTCACAATGAGTACAGATTGAGAATTGAGTTGACTATTTTACATTTTAACATATAACCATTTTTTAAACTATACCTCAACTTAACTTGGCCTCCTTTATATGGTCAATGTAACTTCAATCAAGTTATGAGAGAATAAGTGTATTTGGCCACGCACAGGTACTAACAAGCCAGGTAGTATGTCTCTGGCGTATTGTACTATATTACATCATTATATTTTATTTATTACCCCTCATGGGATAATGGCACTTTCAGCATTTTTGTTAATATTATAGTTACTTTTACTGCGGTTTCTCTAATGGTTTTGATACCGTAACATTCTAAAGCCACAGTGTCTCAGATGTGCAGGTGTGTTTCATATATTAATACATAATACGAAAATTTATAAATTTAAAAAATCTTAAATTGTAACAGACACACAGGTAAGCAGGACATATTAATTGGTGCAAATCTTTTTCAACCCAACTTCTTTTTAGAATATTCACTTTTTGTCACTCTTGCCCACAGATATAAAAAAAAAGGGGAGATGTGTAATGACGCTATGTAAGATCGGGTGCCGATGTCGCCACTTTTTAGCTTGTGTGCAAGTCAAACTTTACGCTCTATTATCTACTACCATAACTTAAAGATTTTGATTGGGTAATGCTTAAAACGTGAAAACGACGTAACACAATTTTCAAATTTAACAAAACTAAAATTACAGTCACTTGAGTAAGAGTTATAGTATATTACAATATTTCAGTATTTTTTTCATCCTGGTTCAGCCAGTCACCATCAGGTGGCGTTTTAGTAAAAATGCTACTAGTAACTACTACTATGTATAGCTAACTATTACACGTTAGATGGCGCTGAAACTCATTTTTCGTTACAGTAGAACTCACGGATGGTTTTCACACACGCCTGCCGCGGGACCGCGGCATCCGCAGAATGTGATAGTTAAGTATGTAAAATTTATAATTTACTTATTTCACGGCGCGTTTTACGCCTGTAAAGGTGACGGTTGCTCGTGGTTGCCGCGGCGGGGTACTAGTAGAACCGAGCAGGTCGCGATCACCTGCGTGCTTGGCGGCCGACGTCGCCCGCGCACTTTGGCGGTCGGTTCAGGCGCACGCGGGATGAGTTCTCTATTAACCGTGCGACTTGGGATTAACTCCCACTAACTTCGCGGTTCGTTCCGCAATCGCAACGGTTTCGTGCCCGCAACCGCGACGGCTACGTGCCAGCACAAATTTGCAGGGTCGTGAGTATTGAAATAAAACCGCTGTCCCGCAGCACCACTGCGCAAACCGCGGACGCTGATGCAAACCGCTCCGTGAACTGTTAACCTTATTAACTTTAAACAGACGCTACTGAACGAGGGATATGGTTCTACCTAATCAATAGAAACCATGTGGCTGTTTTTAATATTAAAAAATATTAAATTTTTCATACTATCCCTACACTGGTACTGGTGTATTAGTAAATTAATATGTTAATATAAATTATTATCATTTTCTTAATGGCGGTCACTAGGCTTGGGCCAGTGTCAGTTTTATAAGAATAATATAAAAAATATAGCAATTGCCAGTGTCAGTTTTCCATTATACGTTACCACAGGTTGGTGAAGCTGTCACTGTCAAGTGTAAACACGAACCATTAACAAATTCAATAAATTAAATTGTTGTTTTTTTTTATGAAGGATTTATGTAATTTTTTATAATTGTTTCTAATTTATTTTGCATGCACATGTAAAATAAAGCCGATTTTACTTTAATTATTTTTTAAATGCATTTGCTATGGAAATTTAAACAAAGTCAGAAATAGTAATAAGAAAACCAATATTTCGATTTTCCTGCAGCTTCTATCCAACCTTCTCTTATTTTGAACTCATTGGAAAAACTTAAAGATTACAAATACCCTACATTTAATCTATGAGTATAATGGAATTTAAATGTCTAAAACAATAATACACATACATTTTTCTTCAAGCAACAGCAACATACAAATTGACATGAAATTGAAACGGTTGTCCAAAATATGAGTTGTGTTAAAGTTACTCGATATAAATTATTTAGTAATATAATATAATAATAATAATAAAATAAAAGAAATAAATTTAACGTGAATGTTGTTCGCTTCGATATTTTAGGGACTTTAATTACAAAGATCATGGTAAGAAATTCAAACATTTCACTAAAAATTTATTGTCGATAAACATCAGTCATTGTAAAAGAACATCACTATATTTGAGTCTAGAAATTTCTATGGAGACAAAAAGAAAACATTGAATAATAATAGAAATAGTAACTAAAAATGCAAATAGCTGGTGGAATGTTATCTCACTGGTTTTAAAATTTTTGTTTTCACTATCAATTTTTACAAGGTGTATTGCTACAACTTGGCATTTTCACGTTTTACGAGAGATCTTGTGTGTACAACGATCGCCATGTCACTGTGGTGATGTTTGTAGGTGTGTCACCTCGTTATGATCATTTTGATCATATCGAGGCGACACAAACCACTCCCCATACCAAATCTCCCCTTTTTTTATATCTATGCTCCTATCCAAGTATCTTTTCAATTACAAGCCATACTAAAAGGTTTTATGGTTATCTAAGATACCCTGATAAATAGCTAGAAAACTATTTCTTTCCAAACACAAGCAGACGGGTGAGCATGCTGCTGATACAAGGCACTTGTTTCTGTTGGTGCGTAGTTAAAGTGTCGGGATTGTCAGATTCAAATTCTACAGCTACTTTTTGACATACAAATGTTAATAATGTAAGAATATCTCGCTCAGTGCCATAGTCTCGGAGTTCCTCACAGAGTGCTTGTATAAATGTAAGTTTTTGGGTAGTATTTCCCCATGAGTAAAACCCAGGCACGGTGGAGAAGACAATAAGAAAATCAGCATGTATGGGGATCTTGTATGTAGAATTTGGATACCCATCAGTTTCAGTACGATTAGTCAGGGTTATGCCACCATCCAATTTATCTCCCTGACTGGCTTGAATGAAAAACATCTTTGGTTTGCCAGCTAGGGAAGGGCACTTATCAGCAGTGAAATAATACCACAAAGTATCAGGTTTGTAGTGGGTATCTTTAGCATAAAGCAAGCCCATCTCACCGTGAGTCAGCACCGCAACTAGCAAGCAGTCACTATCAGAGTGGTCCATCTCAGCAGTCTCTTGAATATACTTGATCACATCTAGGGCGTTTAGGTTATTGAGCATTGTCACGCGGAACCCGAGGCTTTTGAGAATCTTTGCGAGCCTGTCGCTGTCTGCATTATTACCCGTCAAAGACTTCAAGTTATGAATGTCGAAATGCTCGTGATTAAAGATAATTGCCATACCGCGTTCTTTATGATTCATGTTGTAGTACGGAGCGTTTCTCTCTACGGGCATTTTGGCGTAGCGATGCACCGAGAACCCCTGGCTACCCAATGCGTCGCCATCATCACCACTACCACTTGGTCTTTGTTCTTTCTCACCCATCTCAACGCTGGCAATGTTTTGTAATTCTTCTTTAGACATTTTCACTGATCACCAACGAAAATTCAAATCCAATCACTAAAGGCAAAAAGCTAGTAAGATACGGAGGTGAGATGACTATTTATTGTTGTAGGATTTGACTTCTGTCCCACTGAAGACAATAATTCTGCCAGTCCGGGTTGAAAGACACACGGTAAGTGACAAATTGTGCCTGGAATTATTATATCCTTCCCACAATAACGAATCTAATTTGTGGCAAAAACAGTAGAATGCGAAAACGAAGTTTACTTTTTAGCGCAGAAGAGAAGCCATAGAGATTTTTTTTTAATATTTGGCATTTAGCCATTAAGCCAATCAAAAGATTAAGGAAACAGGGTCGTATTCCAGAACTCTAATCAATGCTCAAGTCAGGACTTGAGTATGATTTCAAGCACTGGAAATCATACTCAAGTACTAAATTAGTTCCAAATTTATCTTTCTGCTCGCACTCAGCAAGTAAAGTTACACAGACTAGACGGTAGCTTTATGACGGGGACCTGTACGCAGGTGAACAGAGGAGTGCCCCAGGAATCTATTTTGGGTCCTCTCTTATTCATTTTATATATATCTGAAATCGTGAGCTGTTTTATGTATTGTCGGTACCATCTTTATGCTGATGACTTACAGCTCTACCTTTCTTTCTTCCCAAAGAATACCGCTGAAGCCATCGCTAAGATCAATGACGACTTAAACCGTCTTATTGCATGGTCGGGTAATAACTCTCTTGTATTGAACCCCACTAAGTCCAAATTCATGATTATGGGTTCCAAGAAACAGATTCAGGATATAGAATCACATTTGCCCCAGGTAAAGGTTTTGGGTAGATGTAATGAGTTGGTGTCGGAGGTTCAGAATTTGGGTGTCACTATGGACAGTCGACTGCGCTTTGAGCAGCACGTAGCCAAAGTAGTATAGAACTGTCTTTTTAGATTGAAGAATATTTATAACATTCGTACCTTCTTGAGTCTCTCTCTCTCTCATCTGAGCGTTGTCCCGGTTGCGTCCTCAGCAGTGTTGCTGCGAAGCCCGGGGTCCGCTTTCCTGCCTTTTCTCCTCCACTTTGCACGGTCTTCGGCATCCTTAGTGGTGAGACCATTGGCACGCATATCACCCTTGGCGACGTCAAGCCAGCACTTCTTGGGTCTGCCCCTTCTACCGGGGCCCAGCGGAGGCGGCATAGCCAGACATTTGTTTCCCACGTAGTATGCCGGTTTCCGTAAGATGTGGCCGTACCAACGTAGGCGGCTTTCTTGCAGTTTATCTGCAATGTCACGGACGTGAAGGCTGCCGCGGATGCGGGAGTTTCTGACACAGTCTTTCCGTGAAACTCCACACATCCAGCGCAGCATCTTCATTTCCGTGACACGCAGCTCCTGCTTATGGCGCTCAAGTACGGCCCACGTTTCACTACCATATAAAAGGACAGGCCTAATGATGGATTTATAGACCTGTCCTTTCAGCTTAACCGGCATCTTGGGGTCACAAATGACACCAGTCACCTCACGCCACTTTGCCCAAGCGGCTGCGATTCGGGCTCTGACGTCGCAGTCGATGTCTCCGGACGCGCTGAGTACAGATCCCAAGTATTTAAACTGGCCCGTAGGCTCGACCACGTCTTCGCCTATGCGAACGGGTAGGGGATCTGTAGCGTTGCAGACCATGTACTCAGTCTTCGCCACATTTAGTCTCAGACCGCCGTTCTCAAGCGACTCCTTCCACAAATTCACTCGTCGTACCAGTCTCCCTCTATCCGCATCCGCCAGCGCAATATCGTCAGCGTACATAAGCATCCACGGGGGTTGCTCATGCGTGTCTCGGATGGAGCTTGAGACCTCGTCTAATACCACGCTGAACAGATAGGGACTGAGAACTGAGCCCTGGTGAACTCCGACTGTGACAGGGAAGGGTTTAGTGTCACCAACAGCAGTCCTAACCATGGAATCGGAATCGCGGTACATGTCTCGGATGATGTCAATATAAGCTTCTGGTACCCCTTTGGATCTCAGTGCCCACCAGATCATTACACGGGGGATACAGTCGAAGGCCTTCTGCATGTCAAGAAACATGAAATGCAGAGGCGTAATCTTCAATCTGTATTTCTCCATGATGACCCTTAGGGCAAAAACAGGATCCATGGTCCCAAGACCAGGCCGAAACCCATACTGACCCTCCGAGACAGCACTCTCCTGTCGGATCCGAGAGTCTATTATACGCTCGAAGAGCTTCATGGTGTGGGACATGACCTTTATGCCCCTATAATCGCCACACTCCTGCACTGATCCCTTCCCTTTGAAGACTGGAGTGATAATACTCAGTCTCCATTGGTTAGGGATTTTACCGGGGAAGACCACGCGATTAAAGAGGCCGGTAAGGATGCCCACACCACGGGGACCCATTGCCTTCCAGGCCTCGATGGGAACCCCATCGGCTCCGACAGCTTTCCGATTCTTCATGCGACGAAGAGCTAAGTGGACTTCCTCAGGCGTTACCGGTCGCACTAGTCCCTGATTTGGAGGGAGGACCGGTGGCTGTACCTCTCCGTGCTGCTGATTCAGCAACTCGTGGAAATATGAGCGCCATCTCTCCTTCACCGCGTCGACCTCGCATATAAGGTTGCCATGAGAGTCTTTAATGCAGCGACACTTGGAAATATCTTGTGCCGCTAAGACCCTCGAACGTGCCAGCTTAAAGATAAGCTTCTGCCCCTCAGACGATTCCAACTTGTCGTACAACGGCTGCAAGTGGTCCCGTCTGGCTCTGGCTACAGCTTTCTTAGCGGCACGTTTGGCATCCCTATATGCATCGCGGTCTTCAGAAGATCCGGACGCTTGCCACGTTTTGAAGAGGGCTTTCTTCACCCTCACCTCCCTCTGGACTGTGTCGTTCCACCACCAAGTTTCTTTGTCACATTTGCGACCACCCTTGGACAAGCCCAGCACCGCTTTCGCCGCCTCAGATATGGCAGCCTGAATGTTGTCCCAGTGGTTCTGGACTAGATCACCTTCAGTGTCGGCGCATTTATCGCCGATCGCTGAGATGAACTCCTGCGACGTGGTACTATCAAGCCGCCACCATCTGATTTGGCGTCGGCAGCGCTCAGCGGGCTTGTCGACCGGCTTTACGCAGAGATCCATGACAAGAAGACGGTGTTGCGCAGTGAGACTCTCACCTGGTATGACCTTGCAGTTGGCCACTTTGCTGATATGGTGTCTCCTGGTGAGTAGGAAATCGATTTGGGTGGCGTGTCCGCCGCTCCTGTAGGTGATTAAATGCTCGGGGTTCTTTTTAAAGAACGTGTTCACGATGGCGAGGTCGGCCGCCGCACACGTTGTGAGGATGTCTCCTCCCTCCGCGTTGCGACTGCCGTACCCGTAGCCACCGTGGACCCGCTCGAACCCTTCGCACGCCTCACCCACATGACCGTTCAAGTCGCCACCCAAGACGACTGCCTGCGCCAAAGGAATGGCACTCAGCACTTCCCCGAGTTGATCCCAGAACCTCGCCCTGTCCGTGTCGCTGCAACCGGCCTGAGGTGCGTAGGCGCTTATCAAGTGGGTCACGACCCCTTCAATAAGCACCCTCACTACCATAAGCCGGTCGCTAAAGCGTTTCACTTCCAGAACGTGATCGTGAAACTCCTCGGAGAGCACCACGGCCACCCCGTTCACGCCCCTAGGAGCACCGGTGAAGATCAGCTTGTAGCCATTCCCAATGAGCCGGTATCTGCTGCCTTTCCACCGAGTCTCCTGCAGGATCGCCACGGCGACCCTCCGCCTGGAAAGCACGTCTGCTAGCTCCCTCGCGCGTCCAGTCAGCGTGCCAATGTTCCACGTGGCAAAGCGGAGCTTCCTGTGATGGGTAGGGGCTCGCCTCTTTAACCGTGCCCACCCTTGACACGGTAGCCCTAGTCCACTTGCCACAGAAGTCGGGCGAGGCTCCTGCGCGCCGTTTTGCGGCGGCGCCCTATCCCTATGCCATATCCTTCTGTTGACTTCCATAAGTTGATGTGGCGGTGTTGGTTTTTACGGGAGCGACTGCCGTCTGACCTCCCAACCCCCGAAAGGGAAAACCCCTCGCTAGAGCCTCGTCCGTCTATCAGCAGGCGCACCACTTGCAGGTGAGGTTAGCTTGGGCTCCAAGATGTAGGTGGAGCCCCCAAGACGCCCCCGTACCTTCTTGAGTCTGGACTTACGCATTCACTTATGCGAATCTCTCTTATACTCTCCAAACTTAATTACTGTATCACTGCCTTTGGTCCATGTCTTTTGGCAAGAACGCATAGACTACTGCAAGGAGTGCGAAATGCATGTGCACGTGTCTGTTTTTCAATACCACCTCGAAGTCATGTGACCTTTTCTAAATAAGTCTGACATGCTTACGATGGGTGGACGCCTTAAATTGCATCTGGCTGGATTGTTGTTTGATGTTGTTCAGGCTCACGTACCTTATTATTTGTATAAGAAATTCACTTGGTTATCCACGGTAAACTCTTGCTTTGGAGCAAGGTCGACAAGGTGTTTCTGCTTGTAACCGCCCGGCATAGTACCGCTGCATTTAGAGGGAGTTTCCGATAGTTAGCCACTCGTTGTTGGAACAATATTCTTCCTCCTATCTGTAACAACGTCACAAAAAGAACTTTCAAGCAGAAGCTGCAAGAGTATCTTTTAAATATGCAAAAATTGGAAATATGAGTGGCTAAGGTGTTTGAGAAAAAATAAATAAATAAATAAATAAATTGGATGAAATTAAATTGGATTGAATTGAGTCAAATTGAATTGGACTGAATTGAATTGGTAAGAATTTGAATTGAATTAAATTGGTTTTGTTTTAGGTTTTTACGTGTGGCATCCCTGTCCCCATAGGGTCCTGGCAAAATACCAGTGTCGCTGGCAGCCGCGTCATTTATGCTGAGTCAGCGCCTTTTCATTGCCATGGCTTCCAAGAGAGATACTAATAGAATATATTACTGTGTTACGTCTAAGTTAATGTCTGGATCATGTGTCTATGTATGTATTTGTCATGGTGGTGAATAAAGATTTTATCTACCTATCTATCTACTTGCCATTAGGGTCGTATTTTCAGTGCTTGAAATCATACTCAAGTCCTGACTTGAGCATTGAGTAAAGTTCTGGAATACGACCCATAGACTTACAGGTTATGAAAAAGGTACGGAATTTTGATGAAAAGGATGTGGTAAGATCATTGGATGTGATAGA